CACATTGCATTGAAAATTTTCAATTAATTCCGGGTTACCACTCAGACATTGGACTTCTCTCACCATGTAGTAAGTAAAAAATAATTACAGGTTTTTTAAGAAATTTGTTATTCTAAAATTAAAATATTTCCTTGAGCTTTCTGTTGCAGGTTTAAGGCTTGGTTTGGTTTTAGAGGGTTTGAAGATTTCAAGTTTCCTGTGGGCCCAGGAAAAGGTGCATTTTTACTCTTCTGCTCCAAGTGGTAAGTTCAGCTCTTCTTTGAAAAAATTAATCCAGATTTTAAAGGAAAATGCCATTCCAGAGCTGGAATTTTATGTTCCTTCCTTCTCCAGCCTGTGCTGAGCACCTTCCTGTTGCAAAAATTACAGGGTGGATTTAATTTGCTTGTCTGTGCTAAATAGAAATTCACTTTTATCTTGGTGCTGAAACCCTGTCAGAGTTTCCTGATCCATCCCTCTGAACTTATTCAGAAATAACACATTTATTGTAGTGGGGGGAAAAGAAAACCTCTGGGGAAGTGTGTGCAGCATGGATGATGAAATATTCAATATCCAGCATTTGTTAAAATTCAAATGAGGCACTTGAAAGAATGGTTTGAAGCCCATAAATCTCCCCAAATTATTGTGGCATTACCTGGAAATTTTAGCAAAGGAAAACCTCTTTTGACTCTGTCTTCCAGGGAATAACCATAAAAACTGAATTTACAGCAAAATTTAAAAATCCTTCCCAGATTTGGTTTCCTTTTTGTTTCCCAGCCACACTAACCCCATTATTCTTAATGTATATTTCAGTGTTCTAGATTTTTTTTCCTCTGCTACAAGGGATTTTCAGTGTTAGAAGCTGATTTTCCTCAACTGGGGCAAATATTTGAATGAATTTTGATTCATTTTGCAGAATTATTTCCTCTTCTTTTCTATGTCTGCTGCTGTGGAAGGTGGAAAAGGAGGAAGAAGTGAAGAATCCACTGCTGGGAAGTGCTGAAATGCCCTTGTGCAGAGCATTAAATCCTTTCCTGCAGCCTTGGATGGGTTTTTATTCAGTGAGAGCTGCTCTTGATGTGTTAAAATTCCCTTCTTTTGGGTGTAATCATTGCAATTCAGATGTCCTGGAAGATCAAGAGGATTTTGTTCTCCTTTTACAGATTTGTCTGGTTTAAAGCCAATAATTAAAAAGTAATTTAGCAGGGACTTGGCTTCCTGGTGCCCTTTTACTTCCAGCTTCCTCACGTGCATGTTCAGCCCAGAATGATCTTCCCTATTTAAGGGATATTGCTTGTGTCCTTCTGTGTGATTTTGAATAAATAGATTTTTTACAGTATTTGCCTAAAATTCTGAATAAAAACAATCTCTGCTTACCTGCATTTGATGTCCAAGCTAAAACCTTTGTGTGTGAGCGTAGCATGCTCTAGAAATGTTGGGACCTTTCCTAAAAATCTTGGAAACTTTGGAGCCAGTGACAAATTCTGAAGTTTTGGGAGGTAGAAGAACATGAACTTGGCTTAACATCATTTAAAAAAACACCCTTAAATTCCTACAAGATTTAATGCATTTATTAAATCACAGAAATTAGGATTTAATAAATGAATGAAATAATCTTTAAAAGCTCTTCTACCACACCAAACCCTTTGTGCCTGGTGTGCACAAAGAGCTTGAAAATGAAATTAAAACGTTAAAAGTTGGGAAGAGCTGCCTTGAACCTCAGCTTAAACCACACCTTCCCATGGATTGTAAAACAGACTCCCAGAAAAAAAGAAAAATCAGACAGCAGTGTCTCCTGTTGCTGCATGCAGCTCTTTTATTTTCATTTATCTTTACAGAAATGTGAAGCATCTTCACAAGAATTGTACAAAACCCTCTCCCCTTGGCTGGCTGCATCCCAGCAGAGCAGCTCCCGGAATTCGGTCTCCGAGAGGAAAGACGGGAGTTGCTGTTGCTGATAAAAATCCATGCAGGAGCTGAGCTTGGAATAAAAATGTCCTGTTCTATAGAGGTTAAATAAAAAGGGGGATAAGAGGAAATAAATATACTCATAACATTGGTTTGAGTAGTTGAGTTTAATGCAGGATATGTGGATTTAGTCCATACTGAGCGTATCAAACCGTTAGTGGACACAGAACATGCGCCGGAGCCGTTGCTGGAAAACCCCAAAATATCCCAGCTGTCCTCGTTTCTGCATCCCCCAGGGCCTGCCAGGTCTCTGCATCGGAACACAACTGTTTCCTCCAGAAAATGGGATTTTTCCATGCTTGGAAGCAATAACCATTCTCCTCTTCCCACGGAAGCTCCTTGTGCCCCTCTCCCCGCGGGCCCTTTCAGCGACTCTGTCGCTGCATCGACGTTTCCAGGACCATTAGAAAAATAAACTGCTTTTGTTTTTACATTAGTATTGTAACTGAGGCTAAGGAATTAGAAAAATGAACCCTTGGTTCTCAGACTTGCATTGCCCACAGGTGAGTATTTACAGGGTTTTCCCCATCCCATGGGAAAGGAGGCTGGAAATTTACACCAGAGGAGGAACGCCGAGGGTTTGTACACGGAGCTTCCGCTTCAAATGCAGGGATTTTGTACACTGGACAAACAGAAGCATCAAATACAGGAATATCGAGGGCATTTGGATAATATCACAAACCACACAGAGGCTTCAGTCCTTTTGGCTTGTGGTTTCCTCTTGGGATCATTTTCTCCTTGGTTTAAGGGAGCTGTGTGTGCCCGCTGAGGAAGGAGGGACCCAACACCACGGCCAGTGGAGCCTCTGGAACACAGACCCTGGATTTGGCCACACAACTGACCTGGCTGCTCAGGGCTAGGGGTGAAATTTTAAGTAAATTAAGGGTTTTTAAAAGAAATTTCTTTTTTTTTGCCATGGGAGGGTTGACCTGAGGAGCTGTGCTCGCTTCCCTGTGCTCTCACACACAGCTCACAGCCAAACAAACAAAAAAATCCTAAAAATTGTATGTTCTCAGTAAATAAATGCAAACAATCACACCTTTCTTTATTTGGGGTCTGGGCTTTTGTTTGTTTGCTGGTTTGGTTTTTTTAACCTGTAATACTGCTTTGTTCCACTCCCCCTTGAAAGCAAAGTAGGGTTTGGAAAATGATCCATATTAAATGCAGACACTTAAAATACATTAACACTCCATGATCTGAGCATCCTGAGGCTTCAAGTTAACACAGAGCTCACGTGTCCTTTTGTACTTCAACCACACCCACTTCTTACCCTACAGCTTCTTTTTCCGTTTGAAATGACAGATTTGGCATGTGAAACTACAAAAAGAAATAAATAAAACATGTGCCTGCCTTATCCAAACAGATACAAAACTAATCATTAAAAATCCATCAAAACAACCCCAAAAAAGTTTTAAGGAGAGTTCTGTTTGTGCCCACAGCTCAGCGGGGTGGGAGGGGTGCACCTGTGGTACCTCTCTGAGCCTGGGATGTGCCATCACCTCTCAGGGGCTCCTGCCTGGCACTTCAGGAGAAAACAACGATAAAAAAAAATCAAAGATGGACCCTAAACCTCATCCAGGCACAGCAGGTCCCTCTCAACACCCTCTCGAGGTGACACCAGCCTTGGCACTGGTCCTACCCTGGGCATCTCTGTTCTCCCTCTGGGCCACGGGCAGGATGGGCAGCACATCCCCATAGGCTGGGGCATCTCCCCAGCTCTTTAAAACACATTTTAACAGGTTTTGGCTTGGTTTTTCTGTGTTTGTTTTCTTTGTAAACATTGATTGGGGGGTGTATTGGGGCAGTGAATGTTAATGGCAATAAACCATTCAGCTGGGAAGCTGATGGGATTTCATGGCCATGTTGTGCTTTACAAGCTCCTTGCTAAAAAACAAAACAAAACAAAAATCACATTGCAATTGTAAGATATGAACATAGAAAGTTAACGACTCAGTTATTCACTTGGCAGTCAAATAAACCCTTTCCACATTGATGTTGTAGAATGTGCAAAAGTAGATGGAGAACACATCTGGAGGTGGTGCCAGGTTTGGGGGTTTGTGCACCTCTGCCGCAGGGGAAGCCACGGGGACAGGGGGTACAGAGTCAGGGCTGGCTGGAGCTGCCAGGGGGCCGTGGGGGACAGGGGGGGACAGGCAGAACCCGCTGCCTTAACGGTGTGACCGAGCCGTGGGGAGGGGAAGGACAGCAGGCCCTGGCCAGGACAGACGGGGGCTGGACCCCAGCCTGCCCTGGCCGGGGTGGAGACACCAAAGCAGCACATGCAGGTGTGTTGGCCCAGCCCAAGCTTGCCCGAATCCCCCAGGCAGCTCAGCTCCAGCGGCAGCACAGGGGGACACAAACCCAGGGCTCGGGGGCACTGCCACAGAGCTGGCCCAGCCTTCGGTCCCCTGGGCTTGGCGTGGTTTGGTTTGTGAGATGCCAGGAGGTGCTGGGGGCAGAGCAGCCCCTGCCATGGCACCGTGGGGGCTGCAGCTCACTGTCCCCTCTGTCCCGCTGTCCCCTCATCCTGCTGTCACACAGCCACCAGAGTCCTTCCCCAGCACCCAGCGTGGCCACCCAGAGCAGAAACCCAGCAGAGGATGAAGAAGATGAGTTGGGTGAGAGAGCAGAAGTTCGGGTGCCCTGGGGGACACCTGGTGAAGGAGGAGGAGGAAGAGGAGCAGGGTTTCGGTGCAGTTTCACTCTCGTCTTTACCAGCCCCATAAAAACAACCAACCTGCACCGTCCGGGGCGGCACCAACCACAGCCCCGCTCCCCCAGGGTCATCGGCGTCTGGGCTCAGCCACGTCCCACCAGCACCAGCGAAGACTTTCTCACTAGTTGCGGTATCGGTATAAAAAGTTAAAATCCCCGGGGCGCACGGCCACCGGCTGTGGGTGAGTCCGGCTGTGCCGCCGCTCCCGGGGCTCCGGGCATCCCTCCCGGGCCCAGGGCCAGGCTGGGCATCGCCTTTCTCCGGGGGACCGCGGGCAGCGCCGCCTTCCCCTGGGGCTGCGCCGTCCTCTCCTCCCCCGGCGCTCCCGGAGCGCTCGCCCGGGGCTCGGGGGCTGCTCACAGCTGGGTCTCGTCGCGCGTTTCGGGGTTGCCGGAGCCCAGCTTGTTGCTGCAGCTGCTCTTGCGGCTGTGGCCGTCGTTGGCCACGTGTGCCAGAGGGTCGGAGCGGATCAGGTACCTGCGGGACACAAACACAGCCCGGTTACGCTGCTGGAACCCCCCCGGAATCGAGGCCAGGACACGCAGGGGTGTCTGTGCTGCTTGCAGAGCACGGCGGTTGTTTGAATGAGAGGTGTTAAAGAACAAGAGGTGTTCGTGTAAATGCCATGAAAGAATATGATAAATGATCAGGAGTTATTCCTCGGCTGCTCAGTGGCCAAAGCCAAAGGAAAATTCCACACCACCCATGGGAGCTAGGACGGGGCTGGGGAGGTTTGGGAGCTGCTCAGGAACACAGGGAGGGGGAATGGCCTGGGAAAGAGGCAAAACCCGAGGGCATTTATGAGAAATGATGGGAAACAATGGGATGGGGGCAGCTCGTGGCACCGGGGGGAGTCGGGGGGAGGTAACACCCACACGATGTCATTGAGCTCCAGCCGCGTGTCCGGGGGGGGGTTGATCAGGACGTAGGACAAGGTGTTCTGGTGGTCGTTCATCTCATCTGCAAGAGGAGGGACAGGGCCGGTGAGGGAGGGACACCCCCACAGACACCCCAGGCGAGGTGACAGATCCCATCCTGGCTCTCGCTCCCACAGGCAAATGGGTCCCTTCAGCAGGAGAAGCCGCGGGCAATGTCACTGCCACCGGGAGGGCACCAAGAACGTCACTGCCACCTCCCACTGCCACTGTCACTCCCCAGGCTCTCCCCCACCACAGCACGGCCCGGGGGACTGGCACAGGTAACTCTTCAAAGCACCCACTCCCCCCCCAGAATAAAGTGAGTTGTCTTACCTTGTTTCAGTGCAAAAGAGGGAACAGGTTAGTCCTGCTGTGTCAGGTACAGCACGAGTCCAACCACTGGCTCAGGGCAGCTGAACCCCCCCGGGGCCGCCCCGACGCTCTGCCCCCCTCTCCCCTCCAATTACTCAATTTAGCATCATCCAGGCACTGGGTTAATCCACGGATTGCTGCTTTTCCCTGCCCGGGGGAAATCGCCTCCATGGAGTTTTCAGAGCCGTCGATGCCGTTTTGGGGATGGCTCTAAACCTCAGTGACCTCCCGGGGGGGGCTCAGGGCCACCAAGAGCAGCACCCACGGGGGCGAACGGGGGGTCTCGGTGACGGGGGGGCCCTGTGCTTCCCGAAATAGCCAAGAACAAGATCATGGTGAAATGGATGGGGGTGCGAGGCTGCGGGCGCCGGGGAGGGGTGGAAGCTGCCACAGGTGACACCATTTCCAGACGGGCTGATGGGGTGTGGATGGACAGGGCGGAGAGGGGACGGACAGACGGACACCGGGGCAGCATGAGGAGCACGGCGGGACACCAGCTCGCTGCAAGGCTTGTCACTGGGACACCTCTCCAGGCTTTTGGAAAGGCCCCTCTGAGGAGCAAATGGAGCTGCTTTGGGGGCAGCAGGAGCAGGACCCGGCCACTGGGATGGGCATTAACTCCAGGCTGGGGGCCGCTCCCTGTTGCCTGTCCTGCTGCTCCCAGCACCCTGTCCCTGCTGTCCCCCTGCCTGGCCTGGGGGATCCCCCAACCAGAGGCTGCCCTGCCCCATGGTGGGCACGGCCAGGGTCTCCTGCCACAGCAATGACAACGGGTGCACATCGCCCTGGCACGGGGCAAAACTGCTTCTCTCCAGCCCTCAGCTGCAGCTCCACCAGCACAGCCACCCAGCACAGGAGTGTGAGCAGATTCCTCCCGAGCTGCCTCTGCCAGGGCATCCCCGGGTGAGCCCAGGGGCATCCCCGGGGCCAGCGGTGCTTGCAGCGGGACGCCAGACCTTTGTTTCGCTGCCCAGACACATCCCTGGCACCCCTGAGACCACAGGAGGTGCTGCAGAGCCGGGGGGACCCTCGGGGTGATGCTGCCTGGGACCCCCAGCCTGTGCCAGGGTCCCAGAGCCACCGGGGAGTTTTGGCCATCCCAGTGCTCAGCCTTACAGGGAGACAGGGATGGGGGTGGCAATGCTGGGGCAGGGGTGGCACACAGACCCTGGGACCCGACGGGACACACGGGGTTTGACGTGACAGGAGGTGGGGACGGGCTCTGGCTCTGGGCAGCTTTCCCTGCCCCATGGAAGTTTCCTGACCCCAAGCAGCCCTGCACACCGAGTATATTGCTGCACCTCCACCGCCCCTGGCAATATACTCTGCTGGCCTGGGGCTTCCATGAGCCCCAGCTGGGGCTGCCTGTCTGATGGAGGACACACTTTGAAGGAAAATGCCGACGTTTCACCTTAAGCCTGGGCTAGTGAAGCCAAAAATGAAGCTGGGATGGGCCCTTGGTAACCTTGGGGCTGCTGCAGCAAAAAGGAGCCTTTCCAGGGCATGTTCCACCGTGGTGAAAAGGTGAAAAAAAGATGGGAAACCCTGGCAGGTCCCACAGAGCCCCACAGGGTGCCCAGGGCAGCCACAGCACCAGTGGCCCCTGTGGCTGCCGTTGCTGCCTCGGGCTGAGCCCAGCACCCCTGGTCAGAAAATGGGGTCTTCTAATGCTGGAGAGGGGTCCAGGAAGGCAAACCATGGGGTGCAGAGGGATTTTTAAAGCAGTTCCTTGCCCTGGGCTGTGGCTGACCCAGCAGGAGCTCCAGCATCTCATCACAACATGCACAGGCAGCCCTGGTGCTCTTGTTCCCCCCTCCTTATCCCCTCCTCAAGCTGTCGCTGGCTGTACAGCCCAAAGCCACCTCGCAGAGCCGTGGAGGGAGGGTTTTGTTAATGAAAGCCAAGGGCTGTGATTTCCCTGTAGGAATGCAGCTAAAAAAGGGTCCCTGAGGTTTCTGTCTCCCTGATTAGGCAGAGCCCTACATTTGCACCAACGCCACAGGACACTGACTGGTTTTCCAATGCCACCCAACAAATTAGTGCTGAAAGGGATCTAAGGATCTAATTAGTGCTCGGGGATCTAAGGTGAAAACTGGCAAGGGTGAGGTTTGGGCTTAGCTGGCATGATCTTGTTGTACGCTGCACGCCATGAGTCACGCGGGACTCCCAGGGAAAGGGAATTACCTTGCAAATATCCCAGGTTTACCCGATTCATCACATCACTGGCTGTTAAATTTGCTACATCCTCTACAGAACATACAGGGAAAGGCACAGACATAAACAGAGAGAGAGAGAGAGGTCAGCAAGCCATGGTTCGGCAAATATCAGAGACGAGCTCCTGCGCTGCAGCGATAACGTGAGCAAAAGAAAAAGGAAAGGGGCAGAAGGCAGAGCAAAGTTTTTCCATGGGTGTCCAGACACTGACGGTGACACGTGGTGACAACACACAGTCCCAGCAGCACGGGATGCCCAAGGAGCTGCTGGTCCCCACACTGTGCCCAGTGTCCCTGTCCCGTACCCCCCACTGTCCCCTCTCCTGCCAGAGCTCCCCACAATTTGCCAGATGGGCCAGGACAAAGATGCCAGCCCTGACCTGACCCCAAGCTGTGCCCCAAGCCTCACCGAGGCCAGACAGCCCCCCTGGAACTACAACAGAAACTTCTGGGACCGGGAATGTGGGGAAAAACAGAGAGGGGGATGCACCCTGCAAGCCCCTGCCTGGCAGTCCCTGCCCTCGCTGCATCCCACCACAAGCTGGCTCTCCTTCCTCTCTCCCTGGGACCCTGGCAGTGCCCACAACCACCCCTGGGCCCCCCCTCCAAACTCCTCCTGCTCTTCACTTCTGGACATTTTCTCCTCCTCTTTCCCATGCCTAAAGCCAAGATGAGAAAGGAGGAATCCCCCCCCCCCCAAAATCAGCTCCCATCCCTGCTGGGGCTCATTGCCAGCCTGAGTGTGGGCAGGGGCCAGCACGGGGTGGACGGACACTCTTGGAGGATGGAGCAAACAAGCAGCAGCACAGGATGGTTTCAAAGAAAGAAAGAAAAAAAAAAATAAAAGAAAACCAAACCAAACCAACCAAACAAAGGGACCTGTGGGCTACAGATTTTGTCATAACCAAGGGGTGGGAGCTGTCCAGGGGGACACAGATGCCAGCACCGACGGGCAGCTCAGAAGCTTCACGAGAGATGCGGCTGCACAGAGGGACCCTGAGCGCTGTGGCTGTCACAGCCACACACCGGCGTCACACGCAATGAAGCAACTCAGCCCTGCAGCTACCGAAAGGTTTTCCACGGAAGAGTTTACGGCCGATTAAAGTCTATAACAAAAGGGGGCTGCGCCAGCTGATGGGGTTTGGCCTCTCCCTGCCACACTACGGGGGCTCTCGGGTTGTGCTGACCTGGGGTCGGGTTGTCCTGAGGCACCATCTCTGCATGGCCGGAAAGCGGGGGACAAACGGGGCCTCGTGTGCCAAGGCTGCGTGGGGACACTGGGTCACCGTGCCACTGCCAACTCCTGCCTGGAGCCATCCCAGAGCCCAGAGATGGGGGGCTGGCAGGGGAGGGGGGTCTGCGTGGCGGGACCCCAGCCTGGAGCCGCTGGTCTGCGCAAGCACAAGCAAGCCGGGGAATGAGGCGGCGCTCGGAGCACGCCCGGCAGCGCCCGCGGGGACGGGCTCGGCACGGCGCTAAGCTGGGCATGGGGTTAGGCCGGGCGTGGGGTTAGGCCGGGCGTGGGGTTAGGCTGGCTCAGGGGTCGGGCTTGGCGCAGGGTTACCTGAGGAGCCCGCGGGCGGGAGGCACCACCGCAGAGCAGCTCGGCCGAACGGCACTTACCGTACCCGGTGGTGGGCAAGCCCAGGTGCTTCATACGGTTTTTGACCAGCTCGGACAGCTCCTGGCGCTCGGAGCGCCGGTACAGGCTGAGGCGCTGCTGGCTGATCCACTCGGCCGTCTTGCTGGAGTGCTTGTTGCCCTTCCTGCTGAGCCGCCGTGCCCACTGCATGCTCTTGCGCCTCAGCAGCGGGTGCTCCGACTGGTCGCTGGAACACGAGTTCCGGTGGTGGCTCGTCTTGATGCCCCAGTGCTCCTTGACGTCCTTCGTGTCCTCGCAGTCCTCAACATTGATTGAGATCTGTGACTGGAAGCCCAGCGGGTCACGCGGGATGGGGGGTGGCCAAGGAGGGTTTGGCCGGTGGCTGGCAGGGTGGGATCTCTCCCACGGGGTGGGGTGTCCTTCCTCTGACCCAAATGGGCTCTCCCAGCACTTCACCTCTGCACTGCCCGAAACACAGATCTCACAAGCACTTTCCACCAGGCCGGGTTGCTCCAAGTCCTGTCCAACCTGGCCTGGAACTTGCAGGGATGGGGCAGCCACAGCTTCCCTTGGATAAGCAGTGCAGAGGGGAGTCTTGTGGGCACCTGACACCTCACACAGGATCACCCCTGGCATATCTGCCCAAGGAACAGCCATGCCCTGATCCCCCTCTCTCCCCTCTTACAGCGTCTGTGCTGCCACACGTCTGACCCAGCAATCCCCACTGCTGAGCAGGAATTTTTCAGTAAAGCCTTTTAAGGCATCTCAGGGAGCTGGGTTGAATTTAATTAAATGTCAACTTTCAGCTCCCTGTCACTGCTTCCTTACAAGTTGAAAACTGAAGGTATTTAGGAGGGATCCCTTCCTTGCTCTTTATCCCAGTTAATCACATCAGGGCACTGAGGGCTTTTCCCAGAGCGCTGAGGCTCAGTCAGTATCTCCCTTCCATGGGGATGGGCAGGGCTGTGCTGGCACCGGGGCTGAGGGCTGGCACAAGGCACGGGGTGGTTCTCAGTGGCCAGAGCCACCCAGGGATCAGCCCCAGGGCAGGGGGACAGGGAGGCGGCGCCCGACGCTGGAGACGAGCGGCACTCACCTGCGCTCTGATGTCGTGGGGCTGCAGCAGGGGAGAAGGAAGGGAAAACCAAGAGTCAGTCCAGCAAAGGGGCAGCCCTGCTGTGCCCACCCTGCTCCCCAAGGCACCCAGAACATCCAGAGATGGGCACTGACCCTGACCCAGCGGATCCAGCTGGGGAACCAGAACAGCCACACTAAACCAAGTAAACACAAAAATTCCCCTTCCCTTGCTCTCAGCTCCCCACCCAGGTCCGAGGTGTCCCAGGGACCAGCAGCCTCCTGGACCCCACCTTGGCTGGGACCAGCAGCAGCCCCTTCCCAGCCCATGCCACCACCGTGCCCCTACCTCGGAGGTCGCGAACATGTGCGACTCCGTCCTGTAGATGCCGATGGGAATCTCGGCACTGGAGGAGCAGAGCTTCTGGAAGAGGCGGCCGTACGTCCGGATCCACAGGTCATCCTCGGTGATCTTCATCTGAGGAACAGAGGACAAACGTGAACCCCCACGTGCACCTCGGGCTGCTCCTTCACAACCATCCCAAAAGTGAGCTGGACTCCACAAGAAAACCAGGGGCAATTTCTGACCTCTGCCTTCAAAACTGGGGGTTTGGTCCTTGGCAGCTCTGGGGTTTTTTGTAGCACTGAGGTTCCCCAAAATGGAGGGGAACAATGACCTGGCAATGCTGCTCCCCACCCCAGTCCTGCAGAAGAGGGGAACCCCCACCCCCTGCACAGATGCCACCAGAGTCAGGACAGCCTGGCCTGATGGTTTCAGCCCAAGGGGACTCGGCACGTACCGCACAGAGGTACCCGGAGCCCGGCGTGGTGTCGAGGCCCAGCAGCAGCCGAGTGATGGTGATCATGTAATCCTTCACGAACGACTGGGGAGACATTTGGGCAGGAAACCAGGGAAAGGTTTGCTCAGATATTCCCTGGGGGCTGCAAAGGGGACGCCACAGCTGTGGGGCTCCATCTCACCTGGTACAGCAGCGTGTCCAGCATGCTGATGCTGAAGACCCTCCCGGCCGCGAAGGGCAGCCGGAACATGAAGGCCAGGTTGGAGCCATTCTCTCGCTCTCTCTGCAAGAAGAAGGGGAACTCTGAGCTCAGACTGCACAGAAACTTAGAGGACTCATGGCAATGGGAGGGCACAGGTATAATGTTTCTGGTGGGTGTGGCAGGAGGAAACAAGGGCAGCATCTTTGCACTGTAGAAAAAGAGGATTTTTTTTTTTCTCCATGGAAATGTGTGAGACATTGATTGGGTTTTCTGGACATGGGAAAAGCACAGGACTTCAAGGAGCTCAAATGCAGTCAGTAACTGTCAGTATTGACTTCCCAAGCCCCCGTGCAGGGAACAACCTCCTCTTACCTTTTCTAGCTTGGAAAGGGCCAGAGAGTAACTGTCCTTTGCTCTGAACTGCATGAATCTCATGTTGGAGGGGTGGGTCAGCTCTGTGATAATGCTGAGGCTGGGGAAGAGCCTACAATGGAAAGAGATCTGTTGTTCTGCAGCTCAGAGGATTTAAAGCCTGAGGAAGACCACAGTCATTCCTGTCCTGTCTGAGGTCAGAAACAGCTGGTTGCATGCTGCTTCCTCCAGCAGCCCCAACGCCAGATGTGTCCCCCCGTCCGTAGCCACCACCCCAGGCACCGGCACCCTTCCTGGTCTCGTCCCCAGCAGTGGTCAGCCCTCACCTGAACATGGTCTGGACGTTGACAATCGTCTTGGCATCGGCCATGTAGTCCTCCTCGGCACTCATGGTGCTCTCCTTGTCCACCACCACCAGGTTGTCAGCGTAGATGATGCCACACTGCAGCAAACTGTCCAGGCTGGGCAGTTCCCAAAGAGAAGAGCGCAGGGTCAGCCCTTGGAAACGACACAGGGAAGCAGCACAGGGGTTCCACGGCGAGCCCAGGCTGCTCCCAGCCTGCTCTTCACCTGCTCCCGTCTCCCAGGGAGGGGCTGACAACCCAAGAAGCCCAAGGTGGGCTCAGCTCTATGCTACCGACCCTGGGGCTTCTCACAGGGTGACTGAAAAGTCTGGGCTGGGGTAAATGCGACAACTCAGGCACGACAGCCGCACGTGGAAACACCTACTTGTCAATGGTGCCCTCCATGTAGTAAACCATGGGGAAACAGCAGATGGCCTCCAGAAAGTGGTGCTCAGGCCTGGGGGGAGAGCCACAGAGAGTGAGGTGGTTCAGCACGTCCGAGCAGCAAGGACAGACTCAAAACCCCAGGGCCAACCAGCCGAGGTAGCCAACGGTGGCCCCGCTGTTCCCTCCCATCCCGCAGCACGAGATGGAAACGCAGGGAGGGCTCTGTGTGAGGGAGAAGACCCGTGGAAAAGTACTTGCTTGTTGTCCAGCAGCAGCACGATGGGGTTGAGCTCCTTGCGGGAGCGGTAGTACGCCCGCAGCGGGACGATGAAGTTGTAGAGGCCGTTGCCAGCTGTCTCTGCCGAAACGATGATCAGTTTGTTCTTGAACCCGTAGGCTTTGGCGTCCTCGAAGCTGTTGTGTTTGCAGCCCTGCGTGTGGGACATGGACGTGTCAGCGGACACATCCTGGGGGTTCAGCCCCAGACAGCCCCCACAGCCCCTCCACACCTTGTCCAGCCTCAGGCAGCAGAACGGGGCTTTCTCGGGCAGAAGGTGGCACAGGGTCGGGGAGCTCCCGATGTAGGGCGAGTTTGGGGGGTAGCCCTTCACGTACCTGCAACAGAGAGAAATCTGTGTGAGGACACGGGGAGAGATTTCCATTTATCCAGCGCTCAGATGCTGGGGAAAACATTCAACAGCAACGCTGGCAAAGGCTGTGCAAAACTCTGCTGCAGCAGCTGGGAATTCCCTGAATACACATATTTAGGAGTAGTTTTTGCTATGCCCATGAGATTGTAAAGCTGCAGGGACAGAGCTCTCATGGGAAAGCCAAGAGGGGCTGAGCCTGAGCATCCCTGGGCACCACAGCCTGCCCTGTGCCATGGTCCCAGTGTCTCTGAAGCTGGAACCAACTGGGAGCAACCACAGATGCAACCGGATCCAACCGGAATGAACCGGACAAAGAAGGTCTCTATGGAGAGGGAGCGACTCACTCCACAACCGCCGAGCCCTCCTCGTCCGACTGCGTCATCTCGTCCTCGGACTGGTCACTGAGGAGGTCACAGGGCAGCAGGGACGAGGTGTCAGCCAGCTCCAGGACGGGGGCGATGCTGGGCCGGCGCGTGCCCGAGCCGTTCTCGGCCGGCAGCGCCAGTTTGCTGCTGTTGGCAGGGCGGCACTCGGTGTTCTGCAGGTCCATGGCCACTGTACCTGGACACGGCGGGGAGGGAGCACAGCAAACACGCTCTAAGGGGGGGAAATGTCAGAAAAGCCCCGTCCTCAAGCCCTGTGCAGGGAGAAGACAGCCCAGCTGGTGCTCTGTTGGCGTCAGAGGTACAGAGAGTGTGACCTTATCTCTGATACCTGGCTCTGACATCCAAGAAAACACTGAATTTCACATAACACCATGAAAACAACTGTTAAAGTTAAATAGAAAAATTAGGAGTGTGAGCGTATAAATTAGAGAGCTTTCTTAAGTCACTGGGTGAAAAAGTTAAAGGTTTAAGCTAGTTTAGAAAACAAAAGACAAGATGTAGGATTTAGGGTGTTGTCTCTTTTCCTTCTTCCTTCTTCATCTTCTTCTAGAAGTTTTTGGGTAGAAATAAGTGATTGGATGGAGAGTGCCACAGTGCTGCACACAGGTGTTGGGTCATTGGGTCACTAGGAAAAATAATTTACTTGGCATTTATTAATTGGGTAAATGGACATATAAAAGACCTTGAAGAAGATCTTTGTTAGCCATTTTTCACCTCTCTATCTTAGTGCACATAGCTCCTTGTACCTTGTATCCATATAATGTAGATAAAAGAAGAATAAACAAGTCTGAACAAGAGAAAACTGCCTCTCTCTCATCAATCTTCAGTCCAAGGGGAAAAAGAATCCGACTACAAGCGTCCCATCAGGACAGTGGTCAACCATTTGTGGGCACAGGGAGTGCAGGCAAAGCCCCCAGCAGTGACCTCCAGCCAGGCACTGCTGTGTGCAGCATCTCCCCTGGGCTCTGTCCTGAACCACTCACCCACCTGCTGCTGCCAGAGCCGCCAAACCAAGCTCTGCAGGAGTTCCCATCGTGTCTCTGAGATGAGAACCCTGCAGCCAAAGCCCTGCCCGCAGCTCCTCACCAGCCAGGATCTGCCCTGGCACTGCCCCTCCCATGCACGGCCCCAGGGCGAGGCAGGCAGGCAGCAATGCCCTCATCCACCTCCCACATCCCTCCTGATCAGCTCCAGCCCTTAGAAACTCAGAATCCTTAAGGCTAGAAAAGTCCTCTAAGATCACTGAACACAACCATTCCCCCACTAAATCACGTTCCCAAATGCCACACCTACGCATCATTTAAATCCCCCAGGGATGGCGACTCCACCACGGCATTGATGGAGCGTCCCAAGAAGCAGAGCCCAGGCATTGGCCTTGCCAAACATCACTGCCTGCTGGCACTCCCGGTGTTCCTGTCCCTCTCATCACCTTTGCCAAAGGTCCCTCTGTGCAGGAGCCATGTGACGAGAGCTGTGACAAACACCGCTCAGCAAAGCGCTCTGCGGCTTGCTGGGGGATAATCTATGCAAATTGCTGCTCAGGAGTACAAACACATAAATTATTTGCCTGAAATATAATGTGCTCGTGTGGCTCAGCTCCTCCAAAACTTGTTCTCCCCAGATACAAGAGGGAAGTAATGACTCATGGTATTTTTCACTTGCACAAATGCACCGCTCGCTGCAGAGAAAGCTACGCTCTTCCTCGGCTTGGGATTCGTAAACGTGATTTAGGATGTGCCCCGAGGCATTTCTCCTTCCAGCCTTGGAAATAATTGAAGGCTAAATCCAGACTTGGGGCATTTATGCAAATACCCTTAATGATAATGGACATCACGAGGTTTAATAAGGATATTTGAGCTTGCTGAGAGCACCCAGGGTGCAAGGAAACGTGTATTTTACTGGTGAGACGACTGGGAGAGAGGATGGAAAGCAGCTTTCAGTGGTGAGGGGCAAGGAGCGTGCAAAACACAAAATAAAACCCAACGTGGGGGAGGGAACGAGCCCAAACGTGGGGAAGGTGATGGAGCAGGACCTGCAGGCTCCTGCTGCCCCCCGACTCACCCATGCTGGCGATGATGCTGTGCACGGGCAGGCGCGAGGGGCCGTCGTAGCTGCCTCTGCCAGCAAAGCCCTTCTTCTTCTGCTTCTCCTCCTGCTTGAAGATGAAGGCAGAGTTCTCCTCCTTGGTGATGTTGATGTAGAAGCAGGTGTCTGACGCTGCCATGATGTGCCTCGGGCCGGGGTTCAGCAGGATGCTTTTGTTCTCCTCCCTCCGGATGCCGATCAGGCAGACACCGTACCTGTGCCGGGAGCAGGGGCTGGGCATTCCCAGCCGGAGAAAAACCCCTCCGGGGGCACTGTCCCTGCTCAAGGGAGCTCAGAGTTCCCTCTAGCCCCTGCCCATCACCCCCCAGGGATGCCGATCCCCCTGCCCATCACCCCCAATGCATGCAGATCCCCTGCCCATCGCCCCCCAGTCATGCAGATCCCCCTGCCCATCACCCCCAGCCCTCACTTCTTGTGTGCGTGGAAGGCTGCGTAGGTGAAGCTCTTCCCCTCGTACTCCATGAAGAATTTGCTGTCTCCCATGCGGATGTGATAGACCTCATTGCCCGAGCAGCGCCCGTACATCCTCTGCCACTGCTCCGGGGACTCCTGGCCCTCCCTGCAACCACAGCAGCAGCATCAGGAGGGGTCCACCAGGGCTGGGATGGGACCTCTGGAGCTGGGATGGGACCTCTGGAGCTGGGATGGGACCTCTGGAGCTGGCACAGATCCCAGAATTCCAGCCAGATGCCAGGGCAGAGCACCAATAATGTCTGGAGCTGCCCTGGAGCCTGACAGCAGGAGATGACAGTGACACATCACCACGAGCTGTCGGTGCTCCCGAGGATGAGCTCGTTTTCATTTTGGGTTTTAAATGCCTTTTTAGTTAACGAGGGCTCCTGCAGAGTGCAGAGGGAGGGGTCAGAGCCCGTGTTGGCAAACAGCTCCAAGCATGGGGCGAGAGGCATCTGGCAAGGATGTTTCATAACTGTTTTGATGGCACTTTACCCAAAATTCTACCATTTCTGACTGGCCCATGTGCAGGGCACACAGCACTGCTCTCCTGTGCTGGCAGAGCTCCCCCCAGCCATGCTGGATATATACCCACTAAAAAACCCTGCCGGCTCTGGGGCTGCTTGTGCTGTGAATTCGCCTTCCTGCCAGCAGGACTGTGCCAATGCAAAGATATTTTTATCTCCAGTCTTTGGAAAGTTGGCACTTCCCAGCCCAGCTGCACTGGTGTGGTCCCCTTCCAATATGGGCTTTTGCTCTTGGTCTGGGTGGGGGCCACAGAACCCTCTGTGCACCCCAGAACCATCCCAGACCTCCACCCTCCCCCCCTGAGCTCAGAGACCTCAGTTCTGCCGTCCCTCCCGGCTCAGGCAGGGGCAGGGCAGGGACGGGCAGGGGAGGCACTCACTGGCCACGGGAGGTGTGCACCAGCAGCGTGATGAGGGTGGAGGTGGCAGGGCAGACACAGTTCAGGGCCAGCATAGCGTATTTGCACTCCTCTTCACACACAACGTGATCTGAAAGGCAGAGGGGACCATCACGGAGGAGAGGGGGACCGATGGGTTCCCTGGCTGGCAGTGCCTGGGAATGTGGTCATTTTGGGGTGGTGCTGGGCACTGGGTGTTTCCTCCTCCTGCCGATCCAGGAGGGCTCTCAGCTGACCAGGAGCTGCTGTGCAGCTGCTCCAACTCACCAGCAAACTTGACATGAAATTTATTTTCTGGCTTTAGGATCTGAACGTAGAGAGGACAATTTGGAGCAAAGTCTTTGACAGCCCAGGCCCTCAGGATGGTCTGGTGGTCCTGGACAGGGACAAGAGCAACAAGAGCTACTTGGTTGATGATTTGTTTTCCCCAAGGCTTCTACAGCTGGGATGAACTGCAAAGCACCCAGGCACCCTGGAGACAGCAAGGGCTCCTCCTGCCCCTGCTGCTCCCTGAAACCCAGCACTGATGGGAAACCAGCAGAAGAAAGGTGAGCCCACAGGGGCTGCATGCCTCTGTGCCATACCCCAGGCTCTCCATGGTGCTCAGCCTCTTCACTGCACCCTCCTTTGCTGGGCACAGCTGAGAACAACACCACCCCAATCCCTTCTGCCCATCCCCACCCTCCGGCCGGACTCACCGCCGCTGTTCTGTCCACCTCGTTTCGGCTGCTGAGAATGAAGCAAGCTTCTCCATTGTCCATCCTGCCAAGAGAGAGCGGTGACCCCGGGAAACGCCCACCAGGCTGGGCACTGCCCACCCCAGACCCAGCAAAGGCACACGGGGACACAGCTGGGGTGACATCCCTGGCCGGGGACGTGCGGCGTGTCCCTGCTCACTTGGCTCTCATGAGGTCCTGGTCCTTGAGCGCGGAGCCCTGGAGGTAAATGACGCGCTGCGACCACAGCGGGATCTGCAGCACACGCCGCACCTGGATGTCCATCTCTGTCGGGCACAGGATCACCACGTAGTAATCCTGCGGGACAGAGGCCGCCGTGGGTCGGGGTCCGAGGCTGCGAGCCCAGCACGGCGGGACAGCGGCCTGGAGCTCACCTGCAGGCGTGGGTGGGCGTAGAACTCGTTCAGGAAGTCCATGAGGAGGTCGATCTTGAGGGAGCTGACGCAGAGGACGACGTGCTTCTCCGTCTGGGCGCGGTGCCGGCTGTAATTCCCTCCCGACTTCTGCCGCTCCATCCACAGGTAGACGAGCTCCTCGAACTGCCGAGGGCACGGAGATGATGTCCCCATGGGCAGGGCTGCCCCGAGCCCCTCCCCACCCTCAGCTGAGCGGGTCTAACCTGCAGCGGCAGCACCACCAGGGCCACGCAGATCATGATCACCACGAGGAGCTGGGAAGGCCAAATCTTTGGTGTCACATCTCCGTAGCCCACGGTGGAAAAGGTGACGATGCAGAAATAGAAGGACTTGAAGAGGGAGAGCTTCTCACCTGCTCTTTCTAAATGCTGGATGCCACAGGTCCTGGAAGGGAAAAGCCCCATCACAGCAGGGCCTGCCTGGGACACAGGGCGGCAAAACCCCACCAGCCTGCAGCTCAAAGCCATCCTGCTGGACACAAGCGTCACCCAAGCCTTCCCAAATTGTACCCCCTTCCCCCAAACTCATCCAACAACAGGGCTGGGAGCACCACTGAGCTCTGAAATAGCATTAGTCATCCACACCAGAGCATCGTCTTTATTGCCAAAAACTCATGAGCCTAAAAGCCTCATTTCCTCTCCATTCAGCAACTTAATGGTATAATATGCCTCAAACCCAGACCAAGGGAGCCAGAGGAGAATTCAAAGCCTAATTCAGGGCTAAATAGCCAGTGATGAGCTCTGCTGCCCCTGCCCAGAGAAACAGCCTTGATGTCGGCAATGCACAGAGTAAAGGGCCCAGTTAATTAGCAGGAGCCCCAGTGGCCAATTACACAAATGAGCTCAGGAGCTGTGACCTGTGGGGGAGGAAGAGCTGGGCTGGAAGTGAATGAGCCATCCCACACCTGTCCCTGGGGGAAGCTGCCATCCCTGCCCTCGGCACTGCTCTGGCACTGCCGTGCCCACATCCCCCAGCTCCCTCATCCTCACCCAAAACTTCCTGATAAAACCCGAGAATAAAGGAGGATCATCAGTCTGACTTAGAAACCCCTCACAGTGCTCAGTGTGCTGGGGAGGAAGCAAAGCAGGGGAAGGTGTGAGCCCTGTTAGAGCCTGGCTCTGCCAGCCAGCCCAGATGGGCACAGCTGGATTCCCGGGGTGGGAACAGCTGGATTCCTGGGGTGGGCACAGCTGGATTCCCGGGGTGGGCACAGCTGGATTCCTAAATGGAGAACAACACTCACCCCGTGAAAACGAGACACAGGAGGGTGCAGATCAGGATGAGCACCTGGTTAAACATCGCTGACTGCGTCCTTTGGATGGCTCTGTGCAGATCGTTCTGGGGACAGAGGGGAGGGCTCCCACCAGCTCCCAGAGCCTGGGGGAAAAGCTCCCTCCAAGCACCAACTGCTGCCTTGCTGGCTCCAGCAGTGCCCTCCCCGCTGAAGGTCAAGCCTGGGTTTAGCCCTTGGGAAGGGATTCACATTCCCATCAGCAGGTCAGGGAGACACAGCTCCCGTGGGAGCAGGGGAATGGCTGGAACACCTCACCCCTGAGCACTCCTGCCACTGGCTCAGGCACTGAGCGATTCCTGGTACTCCTGGCATTCCCTGGCACAGCTGCACTCACCAAGCTCCAAATCCTGCCCCAGGGGCAGCCAAGGGTCCCCTCCCGGTCCTGCTGCCCTCCACATCCCCCAGGAGCTGGACAAAGGGGAACACTCACAATCATGTTCTCCAGGGCGTACTTGGCCAGCCAGCAGTTCAGAAACACAGGAATGAACAAATTCCGCAAAGGAGGCCAGAATATCTACAAAAAGCAAGGGTTATTAGCAGAAAAACCCATGCCCTTTTGAAAAACAGAGCTATAAGCAGCCAATCCTCCCTGTCTGGAAGGATCCAAATCCAAGCTGAGCAGAAGCTGCCACCAAACACATCCCTGCTTCCCTGGCTGCAGTGGAGCAGGAAAGGGAGGATGGGTTTTGGGATAACACTCCAGAGAAAGTCATTATATTGTCAACTACTGAAGGAAAAATTTGCTACCAGCCTTAAATACCACTTGGCCAGACACCCACTTTTCTTAATTTCAGCACCAAAAGTACAGCACTTACTACACTTAGAGCTGCTTTCGAATGTCACCGGGACACACTCACCGTGATGATGAATGGCACCGTGTTGATCATCTCCAGGATGAAGGAAATGCGAAAAATCTGTTCCCAGATGTTCCCCTGAGGAATCAAAACCAAAGAAGAATTAAATAAGCTTAAAAACTTGCCAGAGGACAATTAACACGACCACACTCTGCCACAGACGCTGCTGGATGAGGGGAATGTGGGCCAGGAGAGGTGCAGTGGTGGTTGCAGACACACTGGGAACAGAAAACATTCCCAAACCCCTCAGTCCTCTCCACAGCCACTAGATCCCTCTGTCTGTCACTGCTGCCACCCAGAACTGGGGGACAGCAACGCCTGGCGCAAGGATGGAGGGTGACAGTGACAGCTACAGATGGCTGGCACTTGGAGCAGGAGGTGACACAGGGTCTGGGTCTCTGCTGCCAACCCTCCCCCGGTCCCTGAGAAGGTGCCATTTGTTAAGGTCACTTTTTCTGGCCATTTTAAGGGGTTTTGGTCAGTCTGTGCCTCTCCCTGTCTGGCTTGGAGTGGTGCCGCTCCCTCCTGAGGTGGCAGAGCTGGGAAGGAGCAGGAGTCACCCTGCCGAGCTCAGGAAACTTGGGATGTGTCAGCCTGGCACTAAAAACACTGAACCTGCCTTAAATAGGTCTGAATTTCCGAGAAAGCACAAAAAAGAAGAGATTCTGCTCTGCACAACGCTTATCCAGCAGCCCGAGGGGGAATGAGAAAGGAAAACATCCAGAGCCGGCTGAGACATCGCCGAGACAAATCCTGCCCGGGTGCTGCATCTCCAGCCAGCTCCGAGCTGCAGGAATCAATTCCTGCCGAGGGGCAGAGCCAGGCTGAGCCCTCCCGGCCCGGGCTCTCACCTTGTAGCTGAGATAGATGAGCAGCATGGTCTCCAGGAAGCTGATGAGAGCGATGCTGACCTGCAGGGACACACAGGGGAGGCTCCGAGGGCTCTCTCCAGGTGTTGGCAGTGGATCAGAGCTCACCGAGCCCCCCCTGCCCCGGAGAACCCCTGGGGGGTTCACAGGGGGAGCAGAGCTCCCAGCCCAGCTCCCCTGGGCTCCTGCACACCCAGCAAGGGCTGCTCACCTGCACGGCCCACAGCGGGGTTTTTCTGTCCACCCAAAAGATGTGGGACCTGCAAAGAGAGCCCAGAGGGGATCTGAAAGCTGTGGCCCAGCTGCCAGGGTCTTCATCCCCTGTTGAATGCAGGCCCAAGGCCGTGGCTGCTTCAGGAGCTCCCTCCTGCACAGTTTGCTCGAGCAGCCCCTGCACTGGAAATAAGCCATTCCCAAGGGTGCAGCTCTTGCCAATGGATTTGATTCTGGGATGCTGTTCCATGTCCCTCGAGCAGCCCCACGACCAAGAATTGGCCTCAGGCAGCTGCCAGCAGCAGCCACCTCCATCCCTTTGCTCCCACATCCTGGCAGAGCTGAGCCAAAGCCCTGGAGCAGCTCCACACTCACCAGTTTATGTTCGTGGACTGGTTGAACGCTGTGTAATTCTGCTTTTCGCATTCCCAGCTGGGAGAGAAAGAGCAGGGAAAAGCAGTCAGTGGGGGAACAGGGATGCTGGGATTGACTCCCTGGGATCACTGAACAACATTTCCATGGATCCAGACACCCTGATTCCTACAGCCAGGGCTTTGCACAGGAAAAGTCTCACCCAGGCAGCCTTGAACATCTCATTACTGGAGGATAAAACCCCTCAGGTGCTTCAGCCCCCACCAGAGATGCTGTGGAATGCTGATCCTCCCTGGCAGAGGGCTGCAGGGAGCTGGGAACTGGGAATTACCAGGTTACAAAAACTGCTGAGCTGCTGCTTCTGGGACAGGGCTGGCTGGGCCCCCAGCACCCTGCCAGGCAGGCAGCACCGAGCCAAGCTGTCCCTGCCTCGCTGTGAGGGATGTGATCCTGCTGGCCAGCCTCAGGAAAATGGAATTCCCTGAGCTGCAGCCATGCTAAACCTCTCAAGGGTGAGCACCTGTGCTTCGTTCTCACAGGTCTGAAAGAACTTTCAGAATGTGCAGATGTGCCTGGTAGTCTGCAGCCTTTACAAGGAGAAAATCAAATCACCAATTCTCCAACCTCTTGAAAAAAAAAACAAACCCACATTGTACATGAGCTAAACGAAAAAAGGACACATTAAAAATAGGCTTATACTGAATCCCAGCACAAAGCTGATGTGGGGAATCATCCATCACCTCAAGGATTCACACAGCACACCGGATTTCCCTCTCACATGCTTAAATGGGATTTAGTGTTTATGTCTTCAAGGGCGTCAGCCTTCAGGAAATATTTGCATGGTGATGCCCTGGAGTCACTGAGCTCTCACCTGTGTCTGAAGGCCCCTGACAGAGTCAGACAGAATTTGGAAGTGAACACAACCTGAATTTTTCCACCATGCACTGCACAGGGCCAGCAGATACCCCCACACCCAGGGTTTGAGCAGGGGCTCCCAGCCTGGGAAGTTTTGTTAAAGTACCAATTCAAACAGCTGGGAGGAGAAAACCCATCCTCACACCTGCTGCACCCACACTGAGCCCTGCCTGGGGTGGGCTGGGGGCTCTGGGGGCACTCACCAGCCGATGCCCTCCTCGGGGTTGTCGAGCAGGACACGCACGATGTACAGGAGGCACGTGAGCAGCTTCAGGGAGAAGTTGAAGAGCCGAATCCTCAGGCCTGTGGTGGAGGGGAGCAGGGATGGGGCAGCATTTCCGGGCATCCTGAGCACCCCATGGACCCCAAACACCCCGGGTAACCCTGAGCATCCTGGGCACAGCCCCACAGGTTCTGCACAGCCCCAGGTCAGCAGCACTGCCCACGCTCCACGTGTCCTGCCCGCTGTCAGGACACAAGAGACCAGCTCAGAAATAAAGAACCATGAGTCAGCTCCTTGCTGACCCCGATAGGTGTGAGAGGAGCTGCTGGAGCGTGTCCCCCTCATTAGCAGGCATTTAAAGGCACCAGACCAGCACTGACCCCATTACAAGCAGCTTGCAGGGACAGGGATGGCCAGGAAAAGCTGCTGCTTTATCCACTCTGCCTCCCCAGACAGTTCACGGAGTTATTACTCAAGCTACAAGTGAGAAATTCATCACATTTTCATTAAAAACTTCCCCGTGGGCACCCTGTTGTGCTGCGCTCCAGCTTTTTAACAAGACAACAGGATGCAGGCAGGAAGAGAAAATGCGAATTTATAAATTAACGAGCAGGCCCCCTCCAGACAGCTAATGACATCTCAGAGAAAGAAAATAAAAACACCATTAGTCAAGTGGAGACTAATGCCGGTGGCTGGAGGGGGAGTGGGTAACACAGCCTGGCCTGGCTGTCCCCACAGCCTGAGGGAAGCACAGGCAGCATGTGATGGGGACATTTGCTCCCTGTCCCCCACCCTGCTCCCAGGCAGCTTGTGGCTGCTGTCCCCAGGGAGCGGAGGTGGCAGGAGGCAGCTTCTCCTCCCCATGCAAAGCATCCCCCAAACCGGGCCGGGGACACCCAAACAAGAGTCCCCAGAGTCCCCGGGCTGGGGACACGCGGGGACAAGGCCACCAGCAGATGGCAATGGCTTCTCATGGCACAGGACAGAGCGCGGCTCTCCCGGCTCGGGCAGGGCTCCAGCGCGGTCCGTGCGCGGAGAACTCACTGGATCGCTGGTTTTTGATGAAGAACAGCTTCAGCCGCTCCTTGAAGGTGTTCTCATTCACGTAGAACTCGACCTGCACCCTGCGGGGAAAGCCCCCAGAGGGGTCCGTCAGTGCGGTGCCAGGGCAGAGCCGGGGCCCCTCTGTCCCCGATCCCGGCCGGGTCACCCCAGGCTCGCCTCGGGCTCCCGGCGCTTCCCGCAGCCCCAAACCAGCGGCAGCGGCAGCCGGGAGCCCCAGGGACCACCAAAGCAGCAGGTGTGACCCCCGGGGCCAGCTCTGCCGGGGGCCCGGGGCTTGGCTTTCGCTCACACACAGCCAGGTGACGGCAGAGTCACAAACTTCTCCTTTCACACGCACTCCACAACATCCAAAAGCTCCCAGAAAAGCAGCGGCCTTGGAGCAGCCTCCCCCCGTTCCATCTGCTCCAGCTGCAGCAGAGCAGGAGCTGGCGAGGACCGTGTCCCCAGGGTCCCCAGGATGTCCTGGCTCTGTCCATGCCCTGCCTCTGCCTGAGGAGGAGAAACGCTCAGCATGGAAGCTGCTAAAAAACAATTCCGCTCTGAAAGGAGAAAATTTCCCTTTGTTGCTAAGATACCACACTTGGTCATTCCAGAAAAACCCAGGAGCTGACAACCAACTCCAAACACCGCTCGGGGTCCGGGGTGGTGACCCCTGGCACGGGGACTGTGCCAGGGCAGGGAGTCACCTGCCAGGGAGGTGAATCTGGAAATGCCCCATCCACGCCTCCCTTGGGTTCTCCTGCCTCCCCAGCGACCCCTGCCAGCCCCCTGCCAGCCCCACATCCCAGCTGGATGCCCACGGCCGTGGGGATGGGAGAAAAGCTCCCCGAGGCTGGAGGCTCCCCTCAGGGGGGTCTGGGATGGGGATGAAGGGCGTGCGGGAAAAACCCGTCCCAGCTCAGCTCATCCGCCACCGCCTCTCGTGGCACTTTGTAAAGTCATTTATTCATCACCCCAAATCTCTCCGCTCCTGCTGAGTGAAACGCGAGCGGCTCCTCCTGCCTCGCCTTTACACCGAGCCAAAATCTGCTCCTTACCGGCCATAAAGGAGTTAAACGCGAACGTCGCTTCCCCTACCCGCTGTATCCAGCACGTCCTAAGGAAGTGCTCCTGTTATTACTCCTTTTTTAACTGCTTGCAAGAGGTCACGGAGCCCTCATTAAGCAGGCGCGTTCCCGAGCCCGGGCACGGATGGAGGTGAGCAAATTCCCGGTGACAATCGCTGTCATCCCGCTCCATCCCGCAGCTGCCGGCTCCTGATTTATCGGGAGGGATAAATCTTTACCGAGCGCTCACGCCCAGCTGATCAGGCAGCGCATTGGGAAGGGGATTCACGGGATCCTCATTGCTCGGATCCTCATCCCGGGCCGAGGGGTGGCCAGAGGGGCTCTGCACCACACCGGGGTCGTGGTCACCACGAGAAGGGAGAAGGGGAGGACAAACCCAGACCCCACTGCAGGGAGAGAGCAGAAGAATTTCCAAGCCCTGGCTCATCAGCACGATGCTTGAGGAGCCAACAGCGTTAATGCAGAGCCTCCAAGCTCAGCCTTTACACGTGTTAAAATTAATCGTTCCCAGAGCCAGACTCGGCAAATCATTTTTCTGTGCCAGGGCATAAATCAGCTGTCACAACTGCTCACAACGCTGCACGCAAGATAATTGCCCCTTCTCCTTATTAAAAATGCCCAGGAAGTGCTGGGAACTGGCTTTCAGCTCCAACAGCAGCACCCCATTCATCAGAGTCCCCGAGGATTAAGTGCCTTGAGGAGCCGGAGACTTCAGGGAGCACGATTCCTCTGCCTGACATTTGTCTTGTATCAAAGCAACAAACAGCAAAATAAATCTCTGTCACCAGACAGATGGTTCACTGATCTGCCCACCTCGAGACAAGGACTGTAATTGCTGATGGATAAAAGGACTAAATGATTAGATCTAACTTTTTATGATGAAGTAGCCCACGTGTTCATCCATCCTGATGTCTGCAGGAAGAAGGAGCACTGGAAAAAACAACAAAGCAACAAAAAAGCCGTGTCTTGACAGGGGGGAACAAGGTGTTTAACGTTGCAAAGAAATGAAGAAATAAAAGAATGTGGAAGGAACAGGTTCCTGTGCAGACAACCTGCCAAGGCTGAGCCCCAGATCTCTGTGGGGGTCCCACTCTGCAGGTGAATCCAACACCCCACAGCTGAATGAGGGATGGCTCTTCCCAGGCTGCAGCACCACCCCAAAGCATCAAAGCTCCTACTCCATTTCCAGCTGAGGGAAGGAGATGATATCATGTAAAACGTACCCTTTAATTTCATTGTCAGGAAGTTAACTGGAAATAAAATTCAGGCAAAACTCTGACTGCATTATTACCACCCCAAAACACAGCGTGACAGCTCTGCCTTCAGAGCAGCTCAGCCAGGATGGGGTGTTCAGTGTCCCCTCCCTGCTGCCATGGCTGGGCATCCTTCCCACCTGGAGTATCCTTCCACCTGGAGTATCCTTCCCACCTGGAGCATCTTTCCACCTGGAGTATCCTTCCACCTGGAGTATCCTTCCCACCTGGAGCATCTTCCCACCTGGAGCATCCTTCCCACCTGGAGCATCCCTTCCACCTGGAGTATCATTCCCACCTGGAGCATCCTTCCCACCTGGAGCATCCCTTCCACCTGGAGCATCCTTCCCACCTGGAGTATCCTCCCCACCTCATCCCCACCGTCTGAGCATCCTGGTGCCAGCCCATCCCAGGCCACTCCAAGGGTCAGCAGCTCCACAGGCAGCCCACAGCTCGCCCCCCTCGCCCTCACTGAACTCCCCCAGGCCATGCAAACAATGATCCTGGTACAAGTTTAGTTCCAAACCCTCTGCCTGGAAGTGTAATTACTGCTATTATGCACTTCATCATGCCTGAGCGACTTCGTTTTCTTCGCTGGGTTATTTATTGTACTTTATTAATCTAAGATTAGAGGCAATTTGTTGTAAGATGATGAGTTCCCAAAAAAAGACACAATAGTTTGTTGGGAAAAGTGCAGGTTGAAAGGCCGGGACGAGCACATCTCAGCCCACTGGCATTAAAATAGACACTGAGGAGCACAGCCCCTGCTCCATACTTCCCATTTCCCCAGAGAGCTGGGACAGCTCTCTTAAAAAGGAGGAAAACACAAAAATATGAACTCATATAGGGATGGGGAGGTGGAGATACCCCCCCAAATTCTGCATCCACGGGACACTTACACCAGCAGTGGGGCACAGGCAGCTCCCTCCAGTCCCCACAGCCTGTGGCAGTCCCTGGCCCTGGCCTGAAAGATGGAAGTGCCCCAAAATCCAGCGGCCAGGCAAGGGAGGGAGCTGCCAGCCCTGCCCCAGGACCTGCCCAGAGCCCTCCTGCTCCTTTCTGCAGAGAGACTTGGCTTCCCAGGGTGGTGTTCCTGGATTTTATATCAGACACTTCTTGCCATGAGAAACGTCTCTTCAAATAAATAAGGCTCTTGGTAAGGAAAAAAGCCCCAGCCTCTCCCCACAGCTGCATTCCTTCCCCTCACACTCCCCTGGGTGGGAAATGCTGGTGTTGATACAATTCCAGGATGAGTTGGGTTGGAAGGGACCTTAAAGCTCATCTCATTCCGACCTCCTCCACTAGACCAGGCTGCTCCCATGCCCATCCAGCCTGGGACAATTTCTAGTCCCAGAAATCTTCTCAAGAATTTTCTGCCATCATGTAGCAGGATGTAAACTAGATGCTTCAGATTTATTTTTTTATAACAAACAAACCACTAAAACCCCAGAAATCTCTGCAATCTGGCAGGTGCCAGCACCCACCTCTGCCATGGCAGCTCAAGTGAGATCCCACTTCACCCCTCCACTCCAGCTCAGCCCAGGGAGCAGCTCTGCACCCTCCATGCAAACCCACCTGCACCAAACACACAGAAATGTGGCTGCAGCCAGGTTGGGATTACAGAAATGTGCTGCTGGCCCGCCTGGGCTCCCTGGGGATGGGCTGTGGCTACCAGAGCCGGCTCAGAGGAAGGTGAGGAGCAGGGCTGGCAGTGCGGGTCTGCAGCATTTCCTCTCCCAGCAGCCCGACGAGCAGCAGAGCCTGGGCAGGATGCTCTGAAGGCACCGTGCTCAGCAGCGGGAGCTGCCGGTGCCAGCTGGAACCTGAGCAGAGCCAAAATCCTTCCCAAATAAAGCACAAAACCTGCCAGGCTGGGGCTGGAAATACCCCGGCAGCTCCTGATTCCCTTTGGGACGTTTTGCCTTTTTTCCCCACCATTTTCCTGATGCTAACGGGGGTTTGGACACGGATACAGCGAGATGGGTGACACGGGCTGAGCTCTGTGCCCTGTGTTTGCCACCCTCCTCCATCCTCCGGGGTGAGCAGGGGACGGGGGCAGCTCCAGCCCTGCCCAGCTCCCGGAGCCGCTCCCAGAGCAGCCTTTGGGAATGGGAAGGGCAGTGGGAATGGGAATAGCTGTACAGCTGTGCGCACAGACAGCCTGGGCGCCTGCCAAAGGCAGAGACGGAACGAGCTGCCCCCGCGCTCAATAAGCAGTAATTGAACAATTACTCAAAGGAGGAGAAAGGCTGTGCTTTCGGCAGGGCTGAACGGCTTCAAACCGGGCCGGGGATCGGCTCCAGGGGCTTCTCCTGCCCCATGGGCCGGGGGATGCTTGGATTGAGCCCTCCTGGCAGGATCGATGCCGTGCCACAAGCCCAGGGCGGCTGGACACGCTCCCCTCGCCCCCGGGAATGTCTCGGCTTCCCCAGAGCATCCTCGGCCAGCCGCGGAGCTCTCCCCCTGCAGCAGCTCCTGCCGCCAGTCTCGGGCGTGTTTTCAAACAGGAAAGCCCAAAGGAGGCAGGGAGGGACGGGGAGCGGGGGCTGCCTGTCCCCGCTTTGGGGACAGAGCCCTCCATGGCAGCGCTGCTGATCCGCGGAGGGAAGGAGAGAGCGGGGATTCCTCTCTCGGGGGGATCTCAGGTCCTGAGGGAGGTACAGGACAGCACTGGGGACACCTCTGGCAGGGTCCAAAAGGCCAAGTGCTGCAAACAGGGAACACTTTTAGTGAATTTTCTCATCTCACATCCCTCAGTAGGTGCAACACTGGAGCTGCTCTCCCCCTCATCCCAGAATCCCAGGTGATCCTCACGGATCACAGCAGCACCCGGCCCCGAGGTGCTCAGCAGGTCCCACACCAGCCTGTGACAGGCACTGTCACAGCCACCATGGCACTGTCACAGCCACCATGGCACTGTCACAGCCACCATGGCAATGTCACAGCCACCATGGCACTGTCACAGCCACCATGGCACTGTCACATTCACCATGGCACTGTCACAGCCACCATGGCACTGTCACAGGCACCATGGCACTGTCACAGCCACCATGGCACTGTCACATTCACCATGGCACTGTCACAATCACCATGGCACTGTCACAATCACCATGGCACTGTCACATTCACCATGGCACTGTCACAATCACCATGGCAATGTCACAGCCACCCTGGCACTGTCACAACTGTGCCACCATCACAGCCACCATGGCACTGTCACAGCCACCCTGGCACTGTCACAACAACTGTGCCACCATCACAGCCACCATGGCACAGCCACCGTGGCACTGGCACAGCCACCATGGCACTGTCACAGCCACCGTGACACTGTCACAGCCACCCTGGCACAGCCACAACCCTGTGGAAAGGCAGTTGTCCCTCCTGGCCCCTGCAGCCCCAGGAATGAGTTTCCCTGGCACAGCACATGCCGAGGCTCCTCACAGACCGTGATCAGCAGAATCGAGTCCCACATCAATAAACACTGCCCAGGGAGCCAGGATGCTGTGCCACATCTTGGCCCTCCAGCCCAAAGACTCATTTCTTCAAGGTTTCATGCATTTACCATGGGAATCAATCAGAAAAAAATCTCCTCTTTTATCGTGGAGCGTGATTTTTTTGCCCAAAGAAAGAATTGATATTGCAAGCCACTCTGCAGCAAATTAAACTCAGCTGGGTGCAGGTAATGTCATCCTGGCTCCAGCAGCAATGCTGCAGTCTTATTTTGGGGATGAAAAGCAAATTCCAAGCAGTCACGACAGGAAAAACCCTGCCCAAGAGTAGGTTTGGCCTCCAGGGCCATTTATCTCGCACCATGGGCTGAACTCATCCCACAAACCCTCGTGTGCCAGTGGGACAAGGGCTGACACAGACTGCAGGAAGGGTTTCATGGGCCTGAAGAGATGTGAAAGAAATCTCCTGCTCGACTTTTAGTTCATATATATGTATAATTTTTTATTAGGGAGGACATTGCAATGGAAATGGGATTTTTATCGATTCCTCATTCCCTGAAGGCAGCTGTAATCCCTCTCCAACTGTGTTCAGCAGTTGCAGAGCTCATTTCCAGTCACCAAACCAAACTATGGAGGAATCAGGGACATGCTCAGGGCTTCAAGCTGAAGATAATAGAATACCTTGGGCTGGAAGGACCTTAAAGTTCATCCTGTTCCACCCCCTGCCATGGGCAGGGACACTTTCCACTATCCCAGGCTGCTCCAAGACACATCCAACCCGGCCTTGGACACTTCCAGGATGGGCAGCACCTCCCACCCAAGGTTTGGATGCTGCTCATGGCTGGGCAGTGGCACAACTTGCTTCTCACTACAAGAATTACACTTTTACTAAAGGTTAGAACCCCAGAAGGGAAGCAGCAATGCGATGACAGGCTGTGTTTCCTTTGGCCTATTTGTTTTGCAACATTGGAGACTGACACTCACGAGTCTGCTCCTGTAATTGCTTGTGCTGATGAATCTACATTGTTTAATTAGGGCTGTGCATGGAGCTCATCGTTAATGGATAATTGCCAGTTTGCTGCTATCAATTCTTCCTCAAGAAACTTGTCTGTCCCTGGGAGCAGAGAATCCTCCCCATGGTGGGAATCACTGCAGAAGGATTTGCTGCTCCCATACAAAACTCCCTGAGAGCAGTGCAGGACAAATATTGTGTTTATCAGTTCCCTTAAAAGCAGGAAAATCATGGAACCACTGACTGGTTTGGCTTGGAAGGGACCTTTAAAGGTCATCTGGTTCCAGCCAGGGGCAGGGACAATTCCACTGGACCAGCTTGTTCCAAACCCCTTCCATTGGAGAACACTTCCATGGATGGATCACCCGCTTTATTCCATGGTAATTTAGAGCCAAGGTTAACCACTGTGCTCAGCAGCAAAAAACTCAGCTCACCATGTGCACCAAACACCCCAAATTCCAAGGGGATTTTGCCCTCTGGAGAGCAGGGTTGGCTTTTCCCCAGGGCAAGCCATGGTCCCTTGTCCCTCCCCGCGGCACCGGGAAACGCCCGCGGAGAACTTACTGTGAGAAGGAGGAATCCACGCTGAAATCCTCGGCGTGAGGCCTAAGAGCGAGAGCAGCACAGAGGGTGAGGGAATGCACAGCCCCCAGCTCCAAACCGGCTCCAAACCGGCTCCAAACTGGTTCCAAACCAGTTCCAAACTGGGGCTGTCCCACCGGGAACGCCAGCCCGGAGAAGAGGCCACCCGAGCTCTCAGCCGAGGTCACACCACGCCTGGGACATGTCCCTGCTCAGCTCCCAGTGATGCTCTGGTGGCTTTGCCAATAATAGCCCCTTTAAGGACTTGGCTCCATGGATAAAACCAGGTTTTGTGCCTGTTTTATGCCTTTTTTATTTTCCTTTTTAATGATTCTCACAAATTGTGTCGCTGCTCTGCCTCTAATCAGTGCCGCACTTGGTGCTGAGAAATGAGACTTTGAAGGATTGGTGCTTTCAGGAACTCATTGTGCCTCTCCTGGGCTGCTTTTACAGACATGAGTGATGAGCAGAGAAGGGAGAAGTAAATAGAATAAAAAATAAACCAAAAATAAAATCAAATAACAGAGAGGAATGATGAGGGTGATGAGGGGTTGAAGGCAAGGGGAGGAAGATCACAGAGAAAAACAAGAGTGGGTGGGAGGCAAAGGGCCTGTGCTCGTGTACTGTGCATCCCACAGACAGACAGACAGACAGACAGACAGCACAGGGTTATCAAACACAGCGATTACAGCTGCAAAGCAAAAAATTCCCCTGCAAAAATGATGCTGTCATCAAGACACCCCTGGGACGGCCCTGGGTGCCCATCATCAACTGAGCCTGCCTGAGCCTGGACCCTTCCCTGTCCAGCAGTGCCCTCTCTCCTTCCCTTATTTACTGTGAGCCAGGGACACCAGGAAACATCAAAGCCAAGGGGGCTGCTGCAGACCATAAAGATTTTTCTTGCATTTTGCTTTTGCTTTACGAGTCTGCAGCACTCCGGCACAGTTCAGACTAAATAAAAGCAATAAATTCACATTTCAGCAGAAATGGGAGCCCAGAGGAAGCTGATCCATCCCTCAGCTACGAGGAGCAGGCTCCCTGGGACAGGATTTATTTTGCTCCTACTCCTGGGCTCTGGTCTGTGCAGAGGCTGGGGAGGAGCTCATTGCTCCTTCCTCTGTCTCAGGTTGATCCAAGCCCTGTCCAGCCTGGCCTTGGACATTCCCAGAGATGGGGCCCCCTGTGCCAGGGCCTCCCCACCCTCCCAGGGAAGGATTTATCCCCAACATTTAATCTAGCCCTGCTTTCTGTCAGTGTGAAGCCATTCCCCCTTGTCCTGTCACTCCAGGCCCTCCAGGCCCTTATCCAAAGCCCTCCTCCAGCTCTTTTGGAGCCCCTTTAGGTACTGGAGTGTGCTGTAGGATCTCCCCAGAGCCTCTTCTTCTCTGGGCTCAGCTCCTGCCATCTTCCCCCACTTCCCTGCTCATTTCCAGCTTTCTCCTGCAAGCAAAGCTCCTCCTGGAGTGTGAAGTGAATTGACACCAAAGCAGTTTCTTGTGCCACCTCTCGCAGCAAGAACGAGCCCTGGGGTGGCTCTACAGCTGGGCTGTGCCTTGGAGCAGCCCTGGCATTTATTCCTGCCCAGCATCCCGGATTTTCTCCAGCTGCAGAGCAGAGCTCTGCCAGCTCAGGCTCCCTCCAGCTAAATTGGATTATCCCACGTTAGCAGCAGGGGCTGCTCGGGCCCCTCCGCCTGCCTTTGGTTTGGAGCAGTGGCCTTTTCTGCCTCACAGAGATGTTTATGGGGAAAGAATCAGCAAATGATTTGGTTTTCTCCTAATCTGGTGCCAGCTGGCAGCCGGGAAGGGTGGAGGAACAGGAGCTAATTCCAGCTGCACAGCAGCCCTCCTGAAAGCCAAGCAGCAAAGGCACAAAACCACACAGATCAATGGGGCCCTGCAGAAGCTGAAGGTTCTGGAGAACTGGGATGAGCCAGGGAGATTCCCAGGATTCCTTCCCCCAAAGCCACGGGCTCAGGAGGAGGATAAACACCTCAGATAAACACCTCACTCACATGGAGGCACCACAAACAAAAGGGATTCCAAAGTCATGGACAGACATGAACTTCCCCAAGGGCGGCTTTGGACACTCTGTGCCTTGGTTAAAGCACATGCAATAAAATAACCCTTTTTTTGGTAACAAAAATGTGCTTTTGGCTCCCAAATGAGTGAACTTGGTTGTGCTGGTCACAGAGGAAAGAAATGATTTTAGGTATCCCATTGAAACCTCTCCTTCTTCCCACCAGGCACCCAAATTCTCACCAACAGTCGAAATGTTGAGAAAATATAGAGATTTCTCGAAGAAAACTGAAAATCATTTGAAATCTCATCTGGAAAACAGCCGTTTTCCAGATCCCAAAAGGCTTTAAGAGTGATTTACAATATACAGAACTAAAGCCACTTAATGGAGTCAGAAAGGTTATGCTGGCTTTTAATGTGTTTAAGATAATCTACTTCAAATTGACCTTTTTATTTCATCCAGATCTGGCTCCATGAGAGCAGACAAAGCTCGGCTCATCCCATTCCCATGGAAAACAAGGACGGCACAGGCAGAGAAACGACCTTTGCTCCCCTCCAGGATCCAGGGCTGGGAGAGCAGAGCTGTCCCCAGGCAGGGGAAGCTGAGGCCCCTTGTCCTGGTGCTGCCAAGCACAAACCACAACGCCAGGCTGGCACCAGCAGCACCTCCCAGACAGGAGAGCAGAGCAGGGAAGGGTGGGAGAAAGGAGAGGAGCAGAGGGGGATGGAACTTCTTGGCTGCTTCAGAGATAGGTCTGCCCCCACCTTTCAAGCTACAGCCCCTTACAAAAGGGGAAGGCTTTATTAGAAGGTGAAGAGACAAAGGCACATTTATTATTAGAACAAAGCCATAATAAAGCTTGCTTATGTAAAAGAGAGAGCAATCACCTGCCCACCCATGCTGGAGGCTGAGCAGCACCTTCCACCTCATCCTGCCTCCTCAGCTCTGGCTCCAGCACCTCCCAGCAAAGCTGAGCTGGGCAGGGATGTGCACAGCACCCCTGGGCTCCAGTACCCCAAGAACTGGGGCAGCAATTCCCTTCTCTCGGGGAAGGCAGCCAGCCCCAGCTCTCCCCCAGCTCTGCCAGGCCACTGCAGGATCTGGGTGACACTTAGCTCGTGTGCCTCGTGCTGGTGACTCGAGGCTAAATGCTGTCCCTGTGTTTCAAGGGCTCCAGGATGCTCAGAGGGAGGGAGAAGAGAAGTGCAGCAGCAGCTCAGCCCAGCTCACACAGGGACCTGCTCCTTCCCAGCAAACTCTGCGCCTTCACCACTGTCTCCCGAATTTTTGCTAAATGAAGAACATTAAAAATTCACTTCTGGTGGTGCATTTCCTATTCAATTTACAGCCATCATTCCCAAATGAACAAAACAAAGCAACAAAAAATTCATGCCTTGACTTGAAGCCTCTGGAAGTTACAGACACAAGTAATGACCTGCCAACACCACTCTTGGCTTCAGGCTGCTTTAATAACCACTTGCAAGGCTCAGAGGCATTTCAAGACTGAGGTGGAAAGGTATTAAATCTGATGACTTTGTCCCCTGGCTCTGGGCAGGATTTAATGCTTTTCCACCCTGATCTCAAAATGCCTTCAAGAGAGGGTCAAGGCAGGGGGGTGAACGTGAGCCAAGCAAGGTAAGTGCCTGGGGAGGCTTCCCAAAGCAGTGTTCATCCTCTAGAGACAGGAGCTGCACCACGGTTCCTACCATATTGACAGTGAGAAACTCAGCCCAAAATAGCCTGATGTGAGAAGGACAGATGGGAGGAGATGAAAAAAGAAAGTAAAGAGGGGGAGAAGGAACGAGCAAGAGGAAGGGGAATGCGAGAGGAAGAGGGACACGTCTGCTCACAAACCTGTGCGAGAGGGGAGGGAAGGGCAGCTCCCCTTTCTGGCTGAGGGATGGAGCAGGGATGACCCCAGGGAAGGGACTTGAGCCTCCAGCACCCCTGGGGTGGAGGAACTCAGCCAGCTGTGCTGGTGGGCACCTGGAAAAGCCACCAGGAGCTCACAGACAGCTGCAGAGGTGCCACCCAGACAGGCTCTGTGGCCGCTGGCTCCAGAGCAGCCACCCGGGCAGGAGACGGCTCAGCTGGGGCTCGGCTGCCCCCCCAGGGTGCTGCTTTAATCACAGGAGTACTTTTCCTTGGCATTCCTCTGCAAAAGCCATATCACAACTCAAACACATAAAGTTTGGAAAGCAGCAGGCGCGGTGCCAGAGCCGCAGCGGCGCTCGCTGCAGCCGGACAGGCTGTTCCCAGTGTCCAGCCTGGCCTGGAGATACCTTCCAGAAAGTTGTGCCTCTCCCAGAATCAGCCACAGATCCACTGAGGCTGGAAAAGACCTCTAAGATCATCAAAGCATACCCCCAGCACTGCCAAGCACACCACTAAGCCATGCCCCAAACACCACAACCACACATCATTCAGATCCCTCCGGGGATGGGGACTCCACCTATGCCAGGGCTGGACAACCCTTTTGGTAAAGAAATTTTCCCCCCAAACCAACCTAAATCTCCCCTGGCACAACTTGAGGCCATTTCCTCTTGTCCTAGTGATTGTTTCTTGGAAGAAGAGACCGATCCCACGTGGCTACAAGCTCCTTTCAGGTAGATGGAGAGGGCAGGCACTGCCAAGCCTGGGCAAAAAGGCCCTGCAGATGCTCTGACACAGCTCCTGCCTTTGCTGATGAGCTAAATGAGTCCCTGCATTCCTGACAAGTGACTGATCCTTGTGGGGGAAGGACAGTGGACAAGTTTGGAGGTGAGATAAGAGGCCCTGGCGTGGCACGGACCCTCATGGCCCGCTCAGAGGGGTGCCACTGTTAGAGCAAGCAGGAAAGCCTCCCCTGGGGGAGGAACATGCTAATCCCTGTGCCCTGATGGGACCTGATGGGAATGAGGAGCCTAAAATAAACAGAGCAGAAGCCCAAGTGTGAGTGTGGCATCCTTAGGTGAGGATGGTGTCTGCCTGTCAGGGCTATGTAGGGCACCGAGCTCCTCTGCGCT